GAACTGTTCATCAAATATGAAAGTGAATTTAAGGATTAGATGAAAATGTTGTTTTTAGAATTGTAAGTGTAAGCATTTGTTTGCTTATTTATGGACTATTGTTACTTCCATGACTCATCTTGTCAAAGAAATAACTAACATTCATGTAGATTGTAGTTAGAAATGAACTGTTCATCAAATATGAAAGTGAATTTAAGAATAGTGTTCTTGTAAATCAGTGATTGCCAACCTAGGGGATATCACCCACAAGTTGGAGATTTGATAATTGTGGTGGGCTTTGGGGATCACGCAGATAGTGACAGATAGTATTTAATGCCCCGCTTGGAAATACATGGAGTTAGGCTGTGTGAAAACGTTAGCCTCTTAGAGGTGGCATAAGTGGCTGATGGCTTTAAAAAGGTTGATAGGCACTGTTGTAAATCATGTGTTATTTCTGTCAATTGACGGACAAAAAAATATTTTCTTTGAAACACCAAAGTTCATCCAAGTTTCCATAGCAGCACAGGAAACGAACGGTACTAAATTGTCTCAAAATTAGGGAGGTTATTATCGTGTATGTTTATCCATTGGGATATTTGGCTCCTTTGGCATACTGATGAACTGAGGAAAAAGGAGTGAACTGTACCTTTCATACGAACTAGGATGTGATCCGAGTTCAATCAAAAACTTAACAAGTGCCTGTGGATCACGAACACAGTAGTGTAAACAATAGACCACAGGTGATACATATCAGATAAGACGTACCAACTTTTTCATTCAGTGCAGACACAGTCACCTTTGTTAGTGGATTTTTTATTAATAACCGCACTTCAAAACAAAACAAATCAAAAGTTTTTTTTTATTTATCTGTTTTTCTCCAGGAAGTAAATAAACTTACGGGTTGCCTGTCCCATGGAGTTTGTTCCCTTGGTCAGCCGTATTGTACTGAGAAGACATAAGGCGACTATTAAACCCTGATTATTTGGTCTGTGAAAAGTCAAAAAGTTGCATCCTATATATACTCAATGATAAACAGCAAGCTATTTATAATCGACTGTCTTTCAAGTGTAGAAAATTCATTTTAGTTTTTTTGGTTGTTTTTTTTTTCATTCATTCTGTATTTCAGAAACACCCCATTACACTTGGCTGCCTTTGGAGGTCATCTAGATCTGGTAGAGTTATTACTTCAAAATGAAGCAGAGGTTTGTTCACTGTACATGTCATTGCTTTAAGCTAAAAGAAAATTTTGTAACCCTAGTTACTACACTGCTGTCTGCAATATCAGAGCAGTTTCTCTTTTATGATTTTTAATCGAGAAGTGGAATAGCTATAGGAATGGCTAGGCACTATGCTGATTTCACCTCTTCAAATCAGAAACAAGTGTCTGAAACTGACCTGCTTATTTCCCTCGAAGTGAGACAAATTCACAAGGCTAGTTTCAGAGCTACTGCTTCATCATCAAATTAAAGGAATTAATTTGCAAGTAATTATTATGCGAATGTTTGAAAAGATGTTCAAGGTTCATATGGTAGGAGTGCACTTGGGAGTATGCTTGTGTTTATTAACATTGATAAAGGAGAGTGCTTGTGTTTATTTGCATTGCTATGTATAGGAGGATTAAATGGGTTTTTGTGCTGTAAGGAAACATTTGCTGGTTATTTAATTTTAATGAAAAAGACAAAAAGCAATGAGTCCTCGAACTGTGTCTTCAAGGATAAAGGTTGTCCAAAAATGTGTTATTGGAGTCAATATGTAGACACATTTTTTTTAAAATATACTTAATCCTTTTAGCCCCACTCCCCTGAGCTAACAGAACCAGTGCACCATAGCTCCCTTTGAGACAATTTGTAGATTTACACCACTACGTGCTGAGACTGTATTTGAAGCATAGAAAGATATAAGTAGTTCATAAGGGTGAAAGGAATGTTTATTTTTCTTCTGCAATCCTCACTTGCATATGAAGGTTGTTTGGTCATATTATTTGGTTCTCTTTGGGAATTGATGATGTAATTTGTAACTTTTCATATTCATGCTTATTACCCCTCCCTCTCTCTCTCCCTCTCCCTCCTTCTCGTTCTTCCTCTCCCTCTCCGTATCCACCCTTCTCTCTCTCTCGCTCACTCACTCTCTCTCTCTCTCTCTCTCTCTCTTTCTCTCTCTTTCTCTCGCTCTCTCCCTCCCTCCCTCACTCAATATTATTTCTCTTCTGCTCAGGTGAACTCCCAAAACAGTGATGGCAACACAGCACTGCACCTGGCCAGTGAAAACTACTCTCATGCACAGATCAAGATAATCAGGACTCTTGTCAAAGTAAGTAATCTCTCTTTTTAAAGCCTTTATCACTCACAATGCAATCTGATAGCCGTGTGGTTGATGGGCACTGTAGTGTGTTCTCTTCCTTCTACTTCTTTTCTGTTTTGGTACAATCCTGATGTTTCCCTGGTGAAATGTAGCTGTTAATATGACGGTTCACTGTGAATTGCAATTCGGCGAACAGGTGAGAACTTCAGAAAAATAGACCATTTTGCTTTATGACTTTGCTGTAGTCCCTCTTGTTCTGAGATGCCTCTAATGTTTTATTGAATTTTTTGTTGGTTCATAATGATATGTGCATACATACTATAGTGGCAGTCTATGAACTGTCATTTCTGTACAGAAATCTTGGTTTTCATCATTATTTTGGTTATAAAAGACAATGACCTAATGCTAAGATTATATACACAAAGACTATGGCAAAAGTGCAACTCACGGGTGATAAAATTGAAACACATGCTCATGGCTTAACAAAACACTCTGAACTGAAATTATGTCGAGCAAGTAAATTTATCTTAAACTTATCAAATTATCATAATTAACCATGTATGGGTGGTTGGCGGGTGCTCTGGTGTGGTTTGCTTCTTCTTTCCTATCAAACATCTATCGTCCTTTTCTCCCCTTCTTCTTTTTTTATATTTGTTACTCTCTTGTAACACCTCTTATCTTCTGACGCTCATATGACCTTATGCAGTTGCGAGCACTACTAAAACCTCTACTAAAACTAAAATTAACAATGTTCAAACAAGTCTTCGATTTTATTCGGACGTCTTTGTTGACAAGCCTCATACTAACCCCTTCTTTCCTTCTCTCTTGCAATATTCTGTTGTCTTCTTTCGTCTCCACTTTCTCCCCCCTACCCCCCACTAACCCCCCCCCCCCCTCTCCCCATTGTATAGAGCAATCTTGAGAGCTTTCTTGCTTTGAAACTGTGCTTTTACTCAAAGGCTTTGCAGACAGCGTGATGTTTAGAACATAACTTGGTGAACAAGAGCCTTTGTCTCATTGGCTGATGTTTCGAATTATTAGATTTGCCAGTATTTTGTGTGAAGGTGAAGGTGATTCTACATGTTTTTTAGCAATTTGATTGTGGAGAAAGCTCGGTTTATTTTAAGCAGGAGTTGGGCAAAGATCACAAAGGTGTGCTGCGGGAAAATTAGAACAAGACAAAATTGAAACGCTTTACTTACATGCATTTTATTCATATATTGCTAATGCCACTTTTGAAGATATTATGTTTCATTTCCCAAATAGAAGAGTAACTTATCTTTTTGATCAATATTTGATAATATTTTTAATCGTAGCATGTAATGATGTTTACATTTTTCATTCTTGTTTTTCTTTTAATTCTCCTGGATTCCATAGGCAGGTGCTAATGTGTGGACTCAGAATAAACATGAGCTCACTCCTCTTGATTTAGGAGCCAGATTCAAAAGAGATGGTAGGTTTATACTAAATTATGTACTTTAAGGGAGAGCTGTGTAGTAATCATATTCAGTTGAAATTGTCTAAGGTGACCATTTATTGTTGAGAAGAAAAGTAGCCATCTTAGAAAGGTGGCCAACTTACAATGTCTTTATAAAGTAAAAAAGTACATATGGGTGGAAATGGGAAGTGGCCGTTTCTTGAGGTGATTATCGTATACAAGTGGCTGGCTATTAGAGCAGGTTTGCCTGTAGTTATTTTTGTTTACTGTATAGATACTTCATAAAAGATATACTGAAGTAAGATATCTTTGCTGTAGAAGTACAATAATTATCTTCCTTTTAAATGAGATGAGACGTTTTGACAGGAAAAGTTCAGTAATTTCCTTCTTTCTAACATAATAAACGGAATTGGAACTACTTCTTTCCTGTCCCATCTTTTATCGAATGAAAGCAATTGTAATGAAATTAAATCTAATCTGTGACTCATTATAATTATAATATAGATATCTCGTCTACAGTTTCAATGTGAATGTATACTTGGCTTAGTCTCGTAAGAGTGAATACTTTTCTGACAGCAAAATGGTGCAGTTTATAAAAAAAACTTATTGTTGCCCAAATTTGGACTAGGGTTAGAAGTACAGTGGAACCTGTCTAAAACGGCCTCCCATTGTCGAGGAGAAAAGTGGCCATGTCAAAGAGGTGACCGTCTAACACAGTGTCATGATAATTGAAAAATTACTCAAGGGAGGAAATGGGAAGTGACCCTTTGTACGGGTGATTGTCTGATGGATATGGGTGGTCTTTAGAGCAGGTTTAACTGTACTCGTATAGTTAAAAATTGTTGAGACTTCCGGCTTTTAAAAAATTTGTGGTTTAAGAAGTGTTCAACTTCATTGCCACTTGTCTCTCCAATAAACTTTGTTGTCCTCAAACATCAAATAACTTCTTGTTGAGACTTCCGACTTTTTAAAAAGTTGTGGTTTAAGTAGTGTTCAACTTTGCTGTCCTCAAATACTGAATGATTTCTATGTAACAGGTGCAGTGACGGCGTTACTAGAGTATGCTCCGACCCTGGTTAGCAACAGAGTGGCCATCGTCGACGCCGCCATCAGGGGCCACTACAGTACTGTGGAGATTCTTCTAGAGCACGGTGTCAGCCCCAACTTGTTGGACGACCACCACGGCAGTTATCCCTTGCACGAGGCTCTACGTTACAACAGGTTATTGTTTGCTGCACTTCTTCCCGTTTTCTCCTCTTTTTTTTTCTTTTTTCCTCTTCTTCTTCTTCTCCTCCTCCTCCTCCTCCTCCTCCTCCTCCTTTTTCCTCCTCCTCCTCCTTTTTCCTCCTCCTCCTCCTCCTCCT